TATTTGGTGTAGCCTACTACTAAACAAAGATCTGTCCAGGATGTCTGCAGCAGTCTAAAAATACATTAGGTAAGAACTACCTGTCTTAAATGACAAAGATCGACATCTTCACATCAAAAGATGCACCTCAATAACAGTATATTTAGTGAAAGAAATAAGAAAATAAAACACATATTAATACAAAAAAAAATATGTGCACCTAGAATTGAATTTATCCTGTTTATTACAAAATTATTGCTTACAAAGAAAAAACAACATTTAGTTTTATTTAATGTAAGAATAAAGGGAAGTGGAGTGGAAAGAAAATGTGAGCAGTTAAGATCAGTGCTTCAAGCACTATCACACACATTTTTATCCAGAACATAGACTGCAACTCCTTTTATTAATTAAAGGCCCTCTACCTGATTTTAATTTAATATTTCTAAGAAAAATGTTTTTTTTTTTATTTGGTATATTGTGTGGTAAAAGATGTTATTTTATTAAAAATGAATAACTTATCAATTGTGTATATGCAGAGGTCCAGGCATTTTTAGTTCAGTAAGTTTTGTCTGCCAGTGGGGTTTATTCTGTAGAGCTTCTGGTGTCAAATCAGTCACTAATAGGAGCGTTTAACAATGAGGGGGTGTTTTCTCCAAGCACGTACACAGCACCTTTAAAACTGAGAAGCATGATGACAAACAAAATGCTATCAATGCAATACAGAAAAAGAGCCTAAAAGGCTAAAACTTTTATTAAGAGATGTACACAGTATATCCCATGGGAAAAAGTTTATCAATGGGATAAGGTTGGGGGCGGGGCTTAAAGTTCAAGCAAAAACTGTTCTCCTCACTCATGATTCTAAAGTGTACAGGACCAGATACTTGATAAAGCTTATAGTTAGATTGGCTCAGGTTATCCAGAGCTATCTCTATACTTATGCTGTCATAGGCTTAGACTGCTGGAGGACATAGGGACCCCTGTTCATCATTCTCCTTCATTCTCTCTCTCTATTCTTCCATTCTGCAGTATTTGTTACGTCAATCTCTAACGTTATGCTCTCTCTACTTTTTGTCTTAGTAGCTTCATCTGGTCTGTTCCTGTTTGGCTGTGACTCCATCCTGGATAAAAAACATTACCTGTGCTTCTGCCATCAACACCTTTGTTTATAGATATCGGAGCGGGGCCTGTTTTTCAGTGTAGTCCTGTTTCTATTTCTGTGACTAACTGTATGTGCTCTCCTCATCCTCATGGGAGCTGGCTCAGAGCTCGTCTGCCTGGCTTCGTTTTCCTGGACGGGGCCGCCTGTGGAGCTGGTTGACAGTTGCCTTTTGTATCTCTGCTTCTTTCTGTATGTCTGCTTCGGTCTCCTTGAACCCCAGTCGGCCATGGCAGATGGCCGCTTACACTGAGCCTGGTGTTATCAGGAGGTTTCTTCCTGTTAAAAGTTAGTTTTTCTCTTCACTGTTGCTGCAAGCATGTTTGGTGTGAGGAATGGCTTTCGAGTCAAGGAGTCAAAGCAATTAGCTGGTTTTCCTCAGATAGAAAACTTTCAACCAATCTGACTGTATGATCTGGAAGAATTGTCTCTGTAAAGTGCCTTGAGAGGACATGTGTTATGAATTTGCGCTATATAAATAAACTAAATTGAATTGACGTAATGGACTTACTGAATGATTTTGCCAGGGCATGGACAGCTAAAACCATTAACTGCTTCAATAACATTTTTGTGCATGACTGATTAGCATAGTGTCCTGAAAGATATGAGACGCTATAGACACAAAAAACAAGGCTGGTATTCAAGAGCCTTTTTCCTATATCACACGTCAGCTTTGCCTGAAGTTATTTGCCTCCATGCTCAATGCATTGTTTCAGTTAGTCATCTAAAAGAAGTCAGAACCATTTATACAGTGAATATTATGTCTACTACATAGAGATAGGGTGCTGTATGCTGACATTGCTGTAGCAAAATCATTTTTCATTGCTCTTATGTTTTATTCAAATTTTCATTGAAAGTTGATTTTTCCATTAATATACATGGATATCATATAAGTTATACATTATTTATTATAACTATTGTAAGATGTACAAATATCCGTTAGGATGTACAAAAACCCATAAAATATACATTTTTTTTGCAGTAGCTTAACCTCATACTAAAAGCACGCAAACAAAAAACCCATCATTAACTGGGGGTTTTCAATACAAGGGAGGAAAGAGAATTAACCCATTTTAGTTAAGTAAAATCCCAATGCCATTTTAATCTATGCTAATCATAAATTAGGGAGTGTTGTGTATATTAGGAGTATTGGCCTAGTGGTTAGAGCAGTGCGCTTGTGTACTTACTGCAGTGTAGTAAATGAAGCTCATTGCTGGTCTTTGTTCAGTTTGACTTAATCTGTGCTACAGTCCCAATTTTTAAAACAAGTTTTCCAGTGATCTGGCCAGCAGCTTCTAGTAATACAAGGCAACAAGACTTTTTTTTTTTTTTACATTTTGTACCTTCAGCGTCAGTTGGTTTTGTGAGTTAAACTGACTAAATATATGATTCCTAGTTCAAATATTTTCTCCAATTAATCAATCTAACCATATTTTTTGAAATTGTACCACAAACATACTAAAGTCAGAGTGCCACTGCATTAAAATGGCTTTACAATGTCTGTAAAGATGTTGAGCTATATCTACTGAGGATTCTAAGTTTGAAGTAGCTATAAAATGTGTTAAAACCTTTGAGACTACAGAACTTGGGTTTTTCTCTTTTACTTTCTTCTCTGAACAAATAAGGTATGAAAAGACTTAAATAACAATAGGAAATGGGGTATTTAATGTTTGGTGCATTTGTTCATTTATGATTAGATAATTACGCTTTTGAAAGACCAAAAATGACACATTTTTAGCTGGAGTCCAAGACTTGGACAACTTTTATTGTTATTTTGTATACACAGAGTGTATGGAAAACAAAATTTCATTTAGTACAGCTTTTCAGACAGTAATTGAACATTTCCATTCCATAAAGTTCAGCAGTGATCAAATGTAAACAGTGTGGGAGTAAAAAAAGCATGGTGCAAAAACTTAGACTTAGACTTCTTTATTTGTCATTTTGTATGCACAGGGTGCATACAGAACGAAATTGCGTTATGGAAGTTAAGAAGAACATTAATATATATGGTGCAAATGTGCAGTATTTTTGGTTTAGTGTTATCAGTGTGATGCGAAGAGATGAGTCTGTACGATGATTTAAAGTTTTATTTTTGTATCAATTGTAATAACTGGGTCAAAACTGACCCCAACACAATAATTGTAATGTTTTTATCGGAGTGTCCTAAAATGTAATGAAGTTGGATGTTTTGGTTTAATTTTGATAATACTGAGGTTCCTGACAGAGTCCACAAAGATTGGTGCAAAACGCTAAATCTGTGTGGCACATTTATCTATTCGAAGACTAAAAGGGTAAATGGAGTTCCTAATGACTCTCAGGATCAAGATTAATCCTAAATGATAATTATAAAGTGTTAAAGTATGAATAACAAATAATGCTTTGATCGTATTTTGTTTTAAATGATAGTTAGTGCTAGAACTATTTAGCAATACTAGTAGTTTTATCCAAAAAAAGTAATTTTCTAATAAAAAAGATTGTTATCAATTAATAAATGTACCAGTTAAAGATTGGATTTTATCTTTTCAATCTCAACATTATGCTAAAAGAAATGTTTTTTTATGCTTTTTTTTTTTACATCTTTAGTAGGGGTCCCAATTTAATTGCCTCATGCTTTAGCAGCCTGACAACATTTAAGAAAATAAAAAAAATATAAAAAAAACTAGTGCTGCTTAATATTCTGTGCATGGGCCCAGCAGCCATCCAGGATGTTGTCCAGTGGTTCAGCCATGAGACACAGCCGAGGTCAAAAAGTTATCGTAGAATGCTGTTTTTCCTCTCTCTCAATCAGACCCTTATACCTCAGGGTCAGCTCTTCTGTGTCAAAGTCCTGATAACATTGTCCTTTGAGCCTGTTCAGTCGAAGCCCCAGAAAGAAAGACAACTTAAAAGAGCTCACGGTTTGCCTCATGACTGACTCAAAGGCCAAAACAACTTGCTGCTCATTGACATTTAACATGCAGAAAGGTATATTAGGCCCTTTTGTTTTTCTTAAGAGCCTTCCTGATTTTGGTTTATCTTACAGGGCTTAACCTAAGATATAAAGTGAGCATAATCGTGAAAAGTTGGAGAAAAAATTCAAAGAAAGTCTGTAAAAGTCTCAACGAAGGATAACTGCAGCAGTTGCAGGGGGGGGCTTGAATAATCAGTTTAATAACATTATCCAGAGCTGTGCTCTGTGGCGCATGGAACAGTTAATGGAGTGTCATTGTTAAACCACTGCTTTGCCCATTATTAACAACGGCCTACGGTCATCCCCACACCCATAATAAAGCTGCATAAAATCCAACATAACTTCAACAGACAGGCGTAATGAAATTCCGAGCAATATGAGCACAGTTGCGGTAATAAGGAATGGTTGTGCAGCGCAGCGTTAAGGGTTACAAAGCAACAGAGGAGAAAATTAAAAAGATGAAGTTGTTGTATATGATGGTTTTATTTTGGAGAGTCAAGGAGGGCCAAATTTAGTCGAATCGAGGCAGAAGTAGCTATCGCTCTTGTAAAAAATCAGGAAAGTTTCAAGGTTACCTGATTCTACAGTGGTTCTTAGAGTCTGTTCTGAAAATACGACTCTTAAACTCAGCGTGGATGAGTTTTCTGTTTCTTAAGAGTCGGGGGAGGAAATAATAGTAGAGAACTTTAAGTAAAGATTGTTCCCTAAGAGGAAAACGAAAAAACCTAGAGACTGCAGAGGAAGGTCAGTAAACAGGTTGATGCAAACCTAAGAAGACACTGGATCGAGAAGATGTGCAGCCAAGCGAGGGTGCATGTCCGGCCTCCGTTATGCTGTCAATACTCCCCGGACCTTTTTTTTTGTGTATCTCTAAAATTGAACAAAATCAATAACACACTGGAGGTCGGTAGATAATATTTTTTTAAAGCCATTTATTATCAGGGAATTAAAACAAATGCAGTATTAAGAGTGCAAAGTGCCTGAGTGCTGCCAAAGTAAAGAGGTTCTAATAACCTTTCCACAGAACTAAAAATGACACAGAAACAAATAAACACAGTAAAAGTATTCTCTTACCACCCAAATAGTTCATCAATAATAAACAGCTGAGTAATTATCATTGAACCTGAAAGGAGGGAATTATACAAGGATTCCAAGCTGAAGAATCTTTTCATCATATTTGCAAAGAATGAAGCTCCTTATTTACCACAATACACAGTAAATGAAAATAAAATTGCCCAGTGGTTCAAGATGCAGCTGGCACTCACAAAAAAGGCATTGCTAAACCAATCATTTGCCCTTCAGCATTTTCATTATTTGTTTGTTTTTTTTACACCTAGCTTGTTACTGATTTCGATTTTTTTCTCCGCAGCCTTCGAATATCCCTATTTTCCTCACCCTTTCCACTTCCCTGTTTACCCCATCCCACCCTTGTGGCCAACCATTCCATCTTCCTCTTCTCGTGTCCAACTTTCTTATCCTGCCTTTCCTGCATGAGTGTTTACACCAGCGGCTGTTTGTCTCCAGAGGTGGAGGGAAGGGACTCCACGCTTGATTTGTAGATGGGCTTTTTCTGAGAGTGGTCATCACTGCAGAGAGGAGGACAGAGAAAGACAGAGAAGCACGATTATCAGCGGATCGATCTCGCAGCAGGCACTCAAAAAGTATAAGTGAGGAAATTATAGGCTGTGACAAAGAGCTGGAGGCACACATCGCTGTAGTTATGAAAGTCAATTATCCAGCTAAGTTTCTTTACTTGTATACTGGCAAGAAACACTTAGGTAAAACAGTCACAGAGAACAATTGATGAGAAGGATGAACCTTTAGTTTATACAGCAGCAAAATTTCTCATATCTTAAGAAAGTTTTTTTTTTTTTACCAACTGCAGAATATTTGTTTTTTATTAAATTGGATGGTGTGGAACAATGAAAATGATCAACTCTAAGGTTAAAATAGGTTAGAAATACTTAGTGCAGCATAAACCAACCTTGGACTTTAAGCATCCTCACTCTATTCTTTAAAGGAAGCTTTTTTTATACCAAATAAACAAATGCTAATATTCTCACAGTTACTACTGACAGCCCTGCAGTGCTGTCCTCCTTTGCACAGCTGGTTCTTTAAGCGACAGAGACAACCATTAGGCAGCCGTATGTCTCTTATAGGATAGCACAGTATGTCAGATCTAAAAAGGTATTTTGCTCCTGTTCTGAGTCAACATTGATGTGAATTATAGTGGATTATCTACCAAGACTACACAGCAAAAAGATATTTACCCTTTATTTAAGTAGGTAAATAAGATAATTTTCCAATAGAATGAGTATTTTTACTCTTAAAATAAGATAATTCGTTAATGTGCGCTTGAAATAAGACAATGCACTGTTTTTTTTTCTTATTTTAAATGTAAATTGTCTTGTTCGATTGACAAAGTGTCTCACTTACCCCCTCAATTTTAGAAAAAATGCACTTTGTGGATAAGAAAAATTATTTATTTGGATTTTGATATCTTGCAGTATATAAACTTTTCAGTTCTAGAAATCCTAATTAGCCCATCAAACATGTTCTTTCTCTTAACAAGTGGGAGTGGACAACAGTTGTGTCAACATCTAGGATTTTAGTTTATCTTATTCTAACAAAAATGTCCTTACCTTAGATGAATGACATGTTTTATAAGATGTAAGTTTAATTCTTTCCATGAATACTATCAAAAACAATTGGAAGGTGTAATTTATGCAAAAGATGAAAACCTTGAAGATAGCATTAAAATGTAATTGCTTTATATGATTGATTTTTTTTTATTTTTTATATTCAGTCTGGGTTGTGCTGGTTGGTTCACCTATAGCAAACATCATACATCAGGTTCAAACACAGAAACAGTCCAAAAACAAACCTGGAAATGAAACAGCCTTTGTTCTGTCACATGACAAAATGAAATATAGCAATACTGGTTGAAATAAAGGCAAACTGCAAAGAGGAGATCCAAGGAGTGGATAAAGAGGGGAAGCAACCGTAAGTAAACAAACACACACATTCACCTCTGTTCAAAGTCATATTAGCCATCAGTTTTTGAAACATGATTTAAGATGCTATTAACCAAAGTGATTTTAAAACAGCAGCCTGGCAAGTGTTGTTATGAAAAAGAGGCAGACAGCACCTGAACTAATCACCTTCCTCCCTGGCTTTGTTTATTTGATCAGAATCTAGCTCTTCCTCAAATAAGAAAATCTGAGCATGGAATAAGAGGAGGGGCTGAATTCATGCACACTCACACACAAGAAACACCTCAGGTTTGGTTCTTTAGTAGAAATGTTGATTTCATGCTGTTTGAACAGGAGCTGGCTAGTTTTAAGGAACAACTGCATCCTAAAGTACCTGATATCCCACTATGATCCTGCAAGGATTAGGCAGGTGTACAAATGGGTGAATAATGAGAAACCAGTTCCTGTTTTCTATGAGCCCTTACATGTTAATGCTTCCCTGAATAATTTGTTTTTTTTGGGTGCAAGGTTGATCCTTTTCTACAAACTTTATAGTGCCAGTTCATATTTAAGTTCAACAGTAACATGTAACAAACTTTAACTATTATTTGTCTTGTGAAGTTATTTAGAAATCAAATGCATCTCTAACCTTTAACAGATTTTCATTCAAATCTAACTAATTGGATGGACAATTAATTATTAGAAAGAGTTAAATATGCTGCACTTAACAAATCTGTTTTGTTTTTTGTTTTTTCTGTATCTGACCTGCTGATCATCGATCAGAGTGAATCGAGGAAAAGGTTTCCATTTTGGATCACTGGTCAATTAGCTGCTTAATCACTGTTCTTTAATAATCTAAAGCAGAGGTCTTCAACAGGGGGTCTGCGGAGGTACTGCATGTGGGTCGCGAAAGTTTTGGTTGATTACACTTTTTTTTAATCCCCCATGGCCACCCCCCACCCGCCCTGCAATTTTTTCCACTAATTGAAATGTCTTTATATAAACATTAACATAAATTCAACACACTGTAGTAAACAGGTAAATGGAGGCAGAAGATTCAGTGACACACAGGAGATCTTTCAAGCTGGGCACCGTTTCATTCACCTGTCCCATCAACGAGGAATCATACTTAAATCATCCCAGGGCAAAATTATTTTCGTTTTATTACTCCATATGTTAAAGAGGGACAATAGGACCATTTGAGATAACACAATTTTATACAATATATATATATAATTAGGGGGTCCCCGCTCTATCTAACCATCATTTTAGGGGTACTTTGCCTGGAAAATGTTGAAGACCCCTGATCTAAAGCATGGCTTTTTACTTTTCAAACCTGTCTTTGCTAGTCTAAGCGCTCTCATAAGACCTCACCCTTCAAACTGGGCAAGGCCCATGACCCTAACTGGTTTTAAATCAAATCAGCTGTGTAAAGAAATCAATCCAGATTGAATCGATTTGAGACCATACATTTTTAGAGTGTGTGAAGAAAAATAAGCAGCATCAAACAGCCAAACATTGGTCACTCACATTGGCCCCTTGCTGGTCCTGACACTCTTGGCTCTGCGGCACAGGAACACACTCACAGAGATGATGAACACGACCAAAGATGCTGCGCCCGCAGAGAGCATCAACCAGAGCCGCCCATTAGTAGTCTCATACCAGGCAGCATCCTCTGTGGGAAGGACACGAGGGGAAACATGCATGACACAGAATCTAAAAATCAGCAGACCTTATTATGCCTCTAGGCAAAAAAAGAGTCTCCAGGCAACCTCCTGCTTTCAGAGTATTACAAACTATGTCTAGTATTCACACAACTCGTTGCAATGACCTGTAGGAAGTCTGCTTGTTGGAATAAAAAACCATGAAGCTTTGCCTTTAGGATTTTGAGGCAAACAAACAAAGACAGAAAAACAATTCAGGCAAAATAGCTTTATCTTCTCATACACACAGACTGTTAAGAGGATTTTTAGGAAGCTGGAGTCAAACAGAGAACGTTTGCAGAAAGTTTGTGCAGATGAGGTAGTGGACTCCTAAAAAGGAAACCACTGAGCTATGTGGTGTATTCTCATCAAAATATCACTACTTATTCCAATATCAAGACATGAGTGTAAATAATTACCACACAAAAAGTGCTGGAGGCTCTTAGAAGCACCAATCAGTCATTGCAGCTGTGTTCATTAAGCCAAACTGTAATGGGCTACTTTAATCCCAGCGGTCGCATAATTTCTATTGTCAAAATCCCTGCAAGAGTTTAAAAACTGCAGAATATTTATAGTTATCAACACACAGGTCAGTGATGGTAATGATGAAGACAAACGTAGGCTGTAATTATATTAACTAATTGGTTGCAATGAAAGTAAAGAAAGTTTTTTAATCAATCATGTATCCAACATACAAAGACTAATCTGCACTTTTCTAGAGAAATAAAAGTTTGAGTTCAAATACAAAATATTACAAGTTATAATCTTTCCTTCACATTTACAATTACAGAGATAGAAACTTCCATTAACATACCGGTATACATTTTTTTAAAATATCACCCAAGCCTTATTCTTATTAATTGATTCTATTAAAAAACATGTAATATATATATTTATAGTGATACCATGCTAAAACTTAAAATTCAGGATTTTAAATAATTGCAAAATTAACAAAAAGGATTTTAAAACACAGAGATGTCAGACTACTGAAACGTAGGTCCATTTACGGTATGATATACACTTTTTAGCTGGTGGAGGGCTCTGATTCAAACACTGTATTCATTAAGGAAGTCCTGAACCTGATCTACATCATTGTCTCCTATCTCTTCTCCATCTTTAAAATACTTCACTAGTAAAATATGTTGGAGAGGTTTGGTTTCATCAAGCACAGTGATACAGTAGTCTTTAAAGAAAATGTTGCTACTTATGGCAATTGGGACAGAAAAAGCATGAATGGCTCTAAATCGTTCTGGTAGATATGACAATGAACTTTAGAAAAGCGCAGTGGAAAAACGTCACTGTGCTTTTCCTTCTGACTCCGGACTTTGATTATCTCTTGAAATGCATAATTTATGTCCATTTATTTAGACGAACTTCTTACCATCGAACCACAGTTCAATATCTGTCTGAATCTGTCCTTATGGGACATTTCAGAAGACTCCTTCCACTGCCCATACTCTGTTAATCTCTCCTAAACTTTCAATGGTTTTTATGTCACATTGTCCTCGAGGGTGCTGTTAGTCTGATTGCGTATGCATTTGTTTCAACAATTTTTATTTCGTCCACTCAACTTTCCAGGGCATGCTATGATAAATGACCTGTGAACATTACCGGTATATTGTGTTACTGATGACCCTTAGTAGAATACCTTTATTGTGGAGGATTTCAGGAGCTTAACAGACTGTGAAATAAGTAGTCTACTCTGTGATTGTGGAAACAATATTTTTTAAGATTTTGCAGATTCCTGGGTTTAAAAAATAAAATTTTCGGTCTTAAGTGATACCTGGTGCCTATTTAAACCTAAGATATATAATTTTTGTGTAAATAAAAATACATATGCGTATAATGAGATTCAATTCTAAATTGTAATACTGTTATAAATTTACTTTAATGGTAGTTCTATTATATTAAAAGAATCCACTAGTCTCAGTTTTCCCACATTTGACTTGATAATTCTATCAAAAGAAAAAAATACAAATAAAGGTCAGATATGATTGCTGCTTCCTTTAAATCCCAGAATGATCATCCTTTTAATTTTATGTCGTCGTGGCATTTCTTTGATGTATTCTGTCTTCAGCTGTGATCATCTTACACGTGTGACATTTTAGATGCGGTTTTATTTCTCATGCGCACTACGTGGGGGATTCTTTTTAAAAACATCTTAACCTCCGCTAGTGGAGGAATCATATCCCTTTTCTTCTACCTTGATATGAAAGCCTTACTTTCTTCTGCTTCCCCATAAATGCTGGACATGAAACAGAAAACTTTTTTTTTTAACTGCCCCATGATGTTGGAACATACGCATGAGCTGACCTTTATCGTGACATTTAAGCGGCTGATAGGAGAACCAGTGGATTAGCACAATTGTCTTTTGGGAAATGAATTCCCCACCAGTTACAAAGAAAAACCTGGCCTTTTTTTTTTCAGAAAGAGGAAATAGTGAGCAAACTATAAGGAACTGTTCGGGATGAAATAAGCAAAGATCACCTAACTCACCAGTCAGAAGGGTGATGCTGATGGTGCGCCTCCTGGAGAGAGACTTCACTGAAGGATGTTGTGCCATGCAGGTGTACTTTCCTCCATCCATTGGGGTCACCTTCTTCAGAGTCAGCACAGGGGATGGCAAAATCCAGTCACTATCCTACAAGAAACAGAAAGAAAAGAGAGCTTAAGAAATGGGCTTCTTTGTGTCTCTGCAACAAATGTACTAATTCAGAGAAATTAAGAGCATTTGATGATCTCTGGCACAGGGAAAAAAAAGACATCCGGAGCTCAGAGACATCAAACAAAAACTGCGATACTCTAAAAGAAAAAAAAAAAGAAGTCAGGAAGAAGAAAGGGTTTTTGTGTTCTCCAGAAGAAGGTGCGATGGGACATGGTAAATTAGAGCATTGTACAACTTGGAAGACTTTCTGATGGAGACAGAGAAACAAAAAAAAATTTCTACTGGTGCGAGGTTTTCAGGGAGCTGTCCCAAAAGCCATAAATCAAGTTTGTTTACCTAAGCAGTAATCCCGATAAGGGAACTTGCATTGACACCAGTCAATAACCCAAATAACAGCATCATCCGCAAAGAATTATGCTGCAAGGGTTCATTGTTAACACAACACATAATGAGATGGCAGGGGAGTGGGATGAATTGTCGACACAGATATAGCAGCACTATTATGAGGTAGAGCCTAACATGGGGGGAAACAAATAATAGGCCAAACGCAAGGATTGGAAGACAAATGAAGGTGGGAGGGGGGGGTAAAGAAGAAACAACAAAAGAAAAACATTATACCATGCAAATGACTTGGCTCTTGGGAGTGACAGTTCCTGCCAAGAAAGTCCATTTCGGTTTGAATGGATCTGAATTAAGAGGATTTCCCATAAAGGCCAGGTCTGGCCAAAGCAGCATTTTGTATGCAAATCCACTGGCACCCAAAAGGAGTATGCCATTCTGCCTCCGCCATGATGTTGCTTCTGGAGGCCAGAGCGTTCAGCCGGCTGTCTGTCAAACTGTGAAGCTGTCTGTCTTCATAGCCACTCTCGTTTAAGTCAAAGATTTATTTATTTTTTTGCCATGTACAGAAAATTTCACTCTCATCACATTTGAATAGAGACAATTACACAACTTTAATTTATTTCTCTAAATGTGACTTTTTTTTTAAAGCTGATCTATGCAAAACCAGCCTGTCTTTTTAAAGATTATTAAGCCTCATTAAAAGTGAAAGCAGAGCACTGTCGACAGATTATATAAAAAAAACTTAAAGCCCTATATGCGATCATGCAGAGGACAAACAGCATTAGTGCCATGACAAGTCCGCTGAATTGGATTTGGACTTGTAAACCCATTTAAAACCAGGATTAGTGATGACCCTTTAACAAGCATTAACCCTGAGCCAACTTCTGGAGAATAAAAACAAAAATCTGGAAAGAGAGCAAACATATCTAGTATGACAAACATGTCTCCAAGCAGGATTTGGAGATTTGCAGAGGTACTGTAAAGATACAGCTCAATATATGGAATTATAAGAAGGGGAAATATTTTTTGTAATTAAATTAAAAAAGTTTATTTTTAACACATGTTCTACATAGAATAATATATTCCAAGCATTTAGAGGTGTTCATTTTGAACATTATGGTCTAAAGCTTGCTTTTTCTAAAAAAAAATATTTCATAAGACCGATAAAAAAGCTTTTTGTTCCTCTTTACGCAGCTATCAATACCCTCAACAAGTGAAATGTGTCTGTCACCAACAATAAAGCAGACTGTTTAGAGTATTGTAGCCAAACGTGTCATGGAGAGTTATTTTGAGGGACATAAAAAAATTATAAGAGAGCAACGAGAATAAACAGACTCTAAAAAGAGAATACAGCCTAAAGTAATTGCTTTAAAAATTACTTGAATACTTTTTATCCGACCTAATTTACTTACTGTGTTTTAACTGGTCAACTTAAAATAAATAAATATAAATTAATATAAATATAAATTAAGTTGGATCAACTTAATTCATTGGATTTTTAGCAATTGAAGGTTGAAGCATCAAAAGTTGAAATTGGAGCTGTATAGTCTTTTTAGAGTGCACCCGATTAAGAGAGAGGATTTTTTTTTTTTTTTTACTTTAAAAAAGATGTGGCCTTCAGCTGGAGTCTGAGCTTTAAGAAGCCCCATAGACACAGAATTCAAGTTCCCTATAGTCCAGTTTGAAGTTATCAGACTGTGAGGATTTGCATGATGTGCTAGTTTTGATCTACTCCGTTCTGTCAGGAAGTTTGAGTGCCCATAAAGTTCACTGTGATGACAAGGTTTATGGATATGCTAATTCCCTTTTCCAACATTTAACATCTGCTCAAGCTATCAAAAAGCATATAATACCTGCGTCGGTGAGTGCGCTATAACTGGGCTTTGATTGGCCAATAGACTGAGCAGACCTCAGCAGAGCCAAAGTTTGGTCCTTTTCATGACACTCTGCACTGATATCGTAATTCATGAGAAAAGGAAACTCAACCAAGTACAGAGTACATCTGCTGTTCAGTACATAGACGTACATTTTTAGTAGGACGTAATGTCTGTAGTAAAAAATGTAATTAGTGTTACATAAGTCATCAAAATTAAGAAAAATACAGGCTTGAAAAACATAATGTGGGAGGAATCTTTAGATTATGTCACACAATTCAACTTTTTGATGATACCCTCATTTATTGACATGCACCCGTACCTTCAAAACTCACCAGATGTACAAAAAAAACACCCAACTCCTAGCGCTCTTCAAGAAGGTGATTAGTTACAAAGGTTCTTCTTGTTCTACATGCCAATTGTCACTCTGGCATTTTAAAACCAGACATCTTAATTTCCTTTCAGCAACGCTTTCTTAGTTCGGTGAAGAGCCTAGCTGAATTATTCAATGCCGTTTAACCAAACACTGCAAAAATAATTAGAAATCTATCCACATAATTGTTTTCAGGTTGACTGGTTCTTGTCTAGACCTCATTAAACTATTAATCCTCTGTAAGTGGGCAAGCTTGAAATTCCCAGCGAGAGGTGAGGCTAAGCCAACCAGTCACTTAAATGGAGCGCCTTTCATTTAGGGGACAGCAAGAGAGAGATGGCAACTAAGAAGAGAATAAAGAGACTTGAGAAAGTCAGAGAGAGAGAAACAGAGATGTGTTGGAAGAGGAGAGACAATTAACAGAATGCTTGCTCAAAGCCAAGAGGCCAGCAGAGAGTGAGGCAAGAAGGAAAAGGGGTGAAGAGAGAAATATATAAAGAGGTCACATTTAGAGATGGGTGGAGGGAAGAGGCTGACAAATTTCCAAAAGCATATTGAGGACACGGCTGCTGTGTGTGTGGACTCAGAGCTCTCTCACCTCCTTCTGCCAGTAGTAGTTCGGCTCTTCTGATGAACTTGCTGAGCACTTCAGCTCTACATCGTCTCCATTTCGCACCTTCAGGTCCTCTGGGATGCCCAGGTACTTGCTGTAGCCTTCCATGTACACTGACAGCTCTCTCATATCTAAGATGAGACGGCATGATCAAGCATTAATGAAGCAAGTCCCTAAATGCAGGCTGAAGTAACTAGTGTGAACATGTGGGGTGGGATTTAACATGTCTTTAGTAGCAACATCTGGAAAGAAACTACAATCTTTGAAGAATATTTGAAAACCTGTGGCCTTAACAACAAATGTCTCCAATAGATGCAGACTGTTACGAGCGATCAATAGTAACGATGATAGGCTTCATCTTATCGAAGTCTTTAGAGAGGCACTGTTGTGAATAATGGCTCATTTTCTCTTCCATTTCAATAGATGGCCCACGTCCATCCCGCTCTCTGCCTCCTTCCGTCCTATAGCTCATTCTAATCTTTTCCTCTTATTGATTCCCCCCATGAGACTGCAGAGCCGATCAAACAGCATCAGGGTCGATATGATGGCCACTGAGAGGAGAGAGGACAAATCCTGGCAAAACTTAATACAAGTCGCCCACATTAGTGTTGTAGCTTCAAACTGGAGCCTAACTAGTGAGAGCTTCCCCTCTTTAGCGTTTAGCGGACCCGAAAACTAATTTACCTTCCTTAGGTAATTGCATTTGCATAAGATCATTATCTTTTGATGCTGCAGCTGCAGCAGCTTTCAATGTATGCTTTCTGTTGTCAGTTATCATTCTCCGTTCAGTATGAAGAATCTTTCGTCTCTACAAATCTTCTAGTTGCAAACGTGAGGAAATTCAGACAAATTCTAAGATGTTATAAAAGTCCTTCTTTAATTGAAATCTAACTTATTTTCTTATTTAAGATTCAAACTGCAAGGTATCCTTTTTGTTTACCAAATAGTTGGATTTTATATAATTTCTGTACAACACTGATCATATCAACAACTACTGTAAATTTTAAACTTAGGTCTTACTGATGAGCACATTTTAAGCAGACTGCACTTACATAAAAACCCAACCAAAAACACTCACATTGGACTTTGAAGGCCAGCGGCTCAGATGCATTGTCTGGAGCGGTTACGTTTTCATTGTCAGAGACACAGCGGAAGCTCACTCCAGAGTATCTATATGGGTAGGGAATATCCAGACGTCCTCTCAGCTCCTCAGTGTAATAATCACTGTCTCCAAAGCACCATCGACCCAAGTTGTACCCCCAAACTCTTCGCCATGTGTTCGATGAGTACTGGTAGTGAGAGACCAAAACAAAAAGAAACAAGAGGACAAAGATGGTTTAACTTTTGGATTACTATATATAAACAAAATACAGTAAAACCAAACTGCCTAAAAAAAAAACCAAAAAAAAAAAAACACAACAAATATTTATTTTAAATTCAAATGCAGTATCCAAAAACGTTTTACATCACAATATTCTATGTAAATGATAAGCCTTTTGTAAACAAAGAGAAAAGAACAGTATCTGTTTATAGGATTACAATTAGCTGTGCACTCCATAACCTGGCCTTTCTGAAAAATCGGAAAGAGGAAAAAACCCACAAGATTCAACCTTTACAGTTGCCTCAAATAATAAACCTTTTTTTTTTCAAGTAAAATATAACAATTGGGAAGTATACTGGTTAAATTTAATAGGAAGAGAGATGGAGCTGAATCTAGAGAAATTATGGAAGAACTGATGTTGAGAAGTAACAAAAGAAGTTAAAGGACAGAAACTGTAAACATATAACCAGAATCAAAAGGGGAGAGTTAAGATCAAAGTAGCTCCAGGTAGTGGAATGACCAGACTGACATCCAATAAACAAAAACAAAAAAACATTTATTGAAATATTAATTAAAATATTTACGTTAATGGATGCTTGCCATCCATCCTCCTTCATTGGGATGTTATGCTTTGTTTTCGTCTTTTAAAGCAAACTTTAGTAAAATACACTGGAGACTATGGGTTCAGTGTGAGAACATTTGAAAAATCCTGAGCATGACTACTTTAGCAAGGTTCTCATTCCATCTGTTCACTGACTGCAGTGAACCAAGATATTCATTTTACTGAAAATCCTCGAAAATATGTCCATTGAATGCTTGGCGGTAATCTCTATGTAAAGGTTAGAACATTATGAATATGAAAATTAGAGGAAAAACTAAGCCAAAGTAATTTTCTCGTACACTATTTGATTAATCAAAAACTAATTTTGAAAATCATAGAAGTGAAATTCCCCATTCCCTGGGAGAAGGACACTGAAGCACATATTATGGCAAATGTGCAGCAATCCAAATCCGTATCCCCCCAGATAGGATTTTCCTATACCAGTAATAGAATGTGTAACAATATTGTTATATTAGATAACTTTTATACAACCTTGGTTTAGTGGTAAAATGACCTTAACAAGCCCAGCTGCATACCAGACCAGTGACCAATGAAATTATTTGACACATTATGGAACATAAACAGGGCAGAAGACAGATTTTCAGAGACTTCTAGCCTTTTTATTATAAATTTGTTTTCAGAGCAGAATGTAGGCTCAGTTCACAGGCAGCTAATGTGTGAGAAATAAAGAAAAGCAGCAATGGCTTCTCCCAGTTTCTCAAAACCATGTCAAATTAAATAACTCCATAAGTTAAAAACATGAGGAAACATGTAACCGTGGTAAATAAATGTGTTACTATTTAGATTTCATATATCTGTCAAGCTTTTATGGTTATAAAATCGAAAATCAAAAGTGATATGTGTGATATGATTGCACCACATAATAAAAGTGAAAGCTGTAAAACTTTACTCTGTTCAAAATTCCCCTCAGAAAGGAGAATAGTTGCACATACACAGATTAGATTCTGTTAAATATCACACCGTGTAACTGTACTCAGGCCAGTTAACATTTCCCTGTTGATACATTGTACCCTGTCGGTCTACAGAGAAAAAAGAAAAACAAAACGTCCTGAATATTACTACAAAAGCCAAGGTTGTATGAGGCTTTAAGCTGGAGTTGCATGTGGAATTTAAAAAAAAAAATGTTATTGTCATTAAACTGTCACAAGAACAGAGCAATGAAATAAACTCTCTGCAATTAACCCATCCCCTTGGGTAGCAGTGGGCTGCCATTGTGCGGCGCACCGGGACCAGTGTGGGGTTAAGGGTCTTGTTCAGGGACCCAGAGTGGCAGTCTGTGGGAGTGGGGCTTTAACTCTGAACCTCTGGATTTCAAGAGCAATGCCCTAACCACTAGGCTGCCATTCCCTGCTAACATTTGCCAAAACTTTCATTTAATTTATCTTGGAAAAGCTGAGATGATTCTAAAAGTCACCAGAATAAAATGTGTTCAAGTTGGAAAACAGAGGAAGTCACTAATTCTTATGATAGTAGTAACTATTAGCAGTAAGATAGTGATAGGAATCAGTTAAAAAGTTATTTTCCCTGAATGTGTTGAAATACAAAAATCTGTTCTAACAAATGGTAAAATACACACTTTGGTTAAGCTGGATACAAACAATAACAAGTACTAAAAAAGGGTTTATAGCTGTATAATAACCTAATACTGTAAACATTAATACTTAAGAGCTACTCAGGAACTCAAATGTTCTTATTTAAATAGTTAAACTTCAGGAAAGCATTAATCGAAGAAGATGAATTGAACTTTATTGTCATTACACTGTTACAAGAACAGAGCAACAAAATGAACTCTTTGTATTTAACCCATCCCCTTTGGGAGCAGTGGGCTGCCATTCTGCAGCGCCCAGAGAGGAGATTAAGAGTCTTGCTCAGGGATCCAGAGAGGCAGCCCGTGGGAGTGGGGCTTGGACTCAGTATCTCTAGGATCCAAGTCCATTGGAGACTGTGACCTGAACCATTCGCCTTGGACAGCTTAGTCATCCTAACTTCCTGTTAATGATGTACGTTTTACAATGTGAAAACAAACGAATCTGACATCCATGTAGAAAGAAAATGTAACAATATTAAAGGCTTGAGGAGAAGTAAAGTTAAATGTGTTGTTTTGAAGGAACCAAAATAAAGAAAAAAAAGTGCTCCACTAATATACTGTTGCATTGTGCGTTAAATGTCCCACCAGCTCAAACACAAGTGGATGAAATAATACATACTTCTGCAAATAGAATTTCATATTTTGCCTATTTTTCTATTCTAGTCTATTTATATATATATATTTTTTTTTTTATTTATTTTTTTTAGTTTTTACAGCACTAGTGGCTCTTCTTTGGACAGTAGGATGACACGAAGGGGGTACTGTATGAGAGAGGGGGAGAGACATGGGGCAAAGGACCACAGGTCAGATTCGAACCCAGGTCAGCCATGTCGACCACTAAGGCCTCTGTAGATGGCTCGTGTGCACTAACCACTGCGCCATTAAAGCATGCTGCACTCTCTATTTTTTACCCTCAAAGTTTGCCAAGAGAGGATGTAGTCATCTCATATTCAGCCACTTAATTACATGATCTGGACTCACCGGAGAAAGGTACTCAAAGTGGACCTCGCTGACATTGAGGTCAGAGTCTACATACAGGCACTCCAAATGGACGGCTGTGCCCTCGAGAACCGGCTCAGCTGGACCTTTGATGATCAAGGTTCCTGCACATTGTAAAAAAAAACAACAGACATTCAGCTTAATGAAAACACTGGATGAGTAGAAGCCCAGCTGACACAGAGCAGGAAGAGTACCTTCTAGACTTCACTTCATAACAACCTGCAGTACTGTGCAGACATTTGTTGCATATTTCAGTTGAAACCTGTATCCTGTTATGAACAGAAACAGGTTCAACCAGTTTTTGATGGCTGGAAATTTCATCTATGACCTTAGGCTCAAATAACAGGGTAAGACTTTTCATAATTCCCCACTGTGATGAACCAAGCCTAATCATTTGTTTACATACAACATTTGAATATACAGAGTCTACAAGTCCCTGCGTCTGCCTGACAGATTAGAAAACTATTGTTCCTTAAGAAAAAAATATGAATTTAGACTTTAACAAATGACAGCCACTTAAATCCGGATATACAAAACAACAACAACCTCTAGGAGAGTTGTAAAACATCAAGGTATAAAGATAAAACATGTTTACCAGTAATCCCATGAATCAGGGCAACCACTGCAGCAAGGAGAAGGAGTTTCATGGCTGTAGAAAATTTGTTTATAGATCAAAGAAAGAAGTGTCTCGATCCCCCGCAGCTTCTAAACTGAAATGAAAGTTTGCTTTGTATTAGTATATCACAAAGTAGGTGTGGCTTTTTTTTTTTTTTTAAGGAAGTGCGTTCAGAACTGTTTGAACTTGTAAAAGCTCCTAGTTTGTATTTTCATTTTTAATAGCGAAAATAAACCCAAATGGATTGGTAAGGCTTCACTAAAAACACATGAACAGTGTCAGGGATTCATATTTAGCTGATGTGAATAAACGCAGGAATGGTTATGCACAGATAGACGCGCCTGCCGCTCCTCCAATACTCAAATTTATCCTCAGTGCGTCATCTGTTCCTGTACAGAACGGCACCCATCACCTTTAATTTCGGTGTTTTTTTTTTTTTTTTCCTCGCCTCTTCACCATAACTTGAAACCACAGGCCGCGTTATTTTTTTTAGGCATGATGAACCGCCAAACAAACCAGCTTCCCACGCTTCATTTATATTGACGAATATTTTCCAAAGCGCAAGTTCAATGATAAGCGCTGTCTGGGTTGTAAGCCATGAAATGAGCGGCGTCATTTAGAAACTAGCTTTTTTTAGGCGGATAAGTCCACATCTAATATTAAAGTCAGTGGAATCTGAAAAGAACAACAAAATGATAATAATTAAAAATATATAATAACGTTTAAATCTATCTATTTAGGCGCTTTATGACTTTGGGTGGAATGTGTTTGTCGTTGACTTATCTTCTTCTAAAATTACTTTTCTGCCTAATTCATACAAACTGTGAAATATGGCGCATTTAATACCATAAATGCGACTTCCTAACATTAACAAGGAGCGCTCTTCTTTGTGTTTTTGAGTAGCGTCCAGCAGGTGGCAGAATAGGGCATAACATTTTTACCAACCGCCATAACAAGAAGAAGAAGAACTAGGGCCTCTCACACAGGAAATAGACGGGAGCTAAGCGGAAGTGCCGAGAAATATTGCTAGATTGTTTTTGGATGTCTGGATTGAAACAGAGTTAATTTCTCTCTCTAACGCAATTATATGTTATACTAACATAAAATATGGGAAGGTAATATCTGTTTAGCAGGGTAAGTCTGCGCATTTGTACCTCGGTTACTGTCTAAGCTTGATAATTGTGCACCGCCAAATTTGCAGCTAAGATTAGCCGCTGAAGCTAACGTCATATATTGATAGTAAGCGTTTGTTTTTAGCACACAGGTTGGGTATCATCTGAACATTAAAGGTTTCGTTGTTGTATTCTAGTAATTAGGATCTCAAGATACGCCTCTATGTTTTCTATTGTTAATGAAGTTTTTTTAAGCGTCCCGACTTAGATTTTCTCCCGAAAGCGTCGTGTTTTACGGTAAAGCTACGATTAGCTTAGCGTAGATTTAAAAGTACAGGTGACTACAGTTTTAACTGTAACTATTTTAAAAGTGAACGGAATATGTCCATTTGTGGTTTTTAGAAAAGTAAAGTATTTTTGAATGTACTAATATCTCTTATTTTCATTACTCATTGTAACGTTTCCAATTGTCAATCTGGTTATATAATGCCGCTACATCAATTAAAGAGCAATGGAGTAAACAGACCAGCTTTACTGGCGGAGAAATGGAAAGCTTTTTATTACGGTTTATGTTTTGTTAACATTCTGCACTTAACCCTGTGTCATATAACCTACAAGAGTTATGAATCTTAACGTATTTTTTTCTTCTATTACAGGTGCAAATCTGTTTAAAGAAGTAATCAATTACACCGGTGCTATTGGACAGTCCTTCAACACTCCCCCAGTCATTCATAGGCCAGAAACGTGTTGATATCTCTTCATTAACTGTGGCCACAGCATGGCTAACAGCGCCCCAATAATAGTGAAGGGTCTGTCCTCAGGTCCTGCAGGCAGGAGCAGTCCAGAGGGATCTCAGGTATACTGTTCTTTTCTTTTTTTTTATCATCCTTCAGGATTTTTAATTGTGTGT